GCTAGCACGGGACTTAGAGCGAAAAGTTTCGCCAACCGCTGTGCTCCCCACGGCCTTGAGTGTTCGTGTAGGGCTCGCGCCAACTCCAACCCGTGCGCTAATCGAATTTAGCGCATCGATTAGCGCTGCATTAGCGCTACCGGAACAGTTACGGCCTCGATACCCTCACACAGCTCGGAGTTTCATTGATTCATCAGGAGGCTGAACCCTGATATATATATATATATATATCGTCAAATAGAACTGCCCGGTAAACCGTAGGCAGAGAGGGAGAAGAGGACAACAAACGAGGGGCTGTGACAAACTGTTTCGGCGGAGTTTCACCGACTCATCAGGAGGTATATATATCTGTTTGTGACGATATATATATATATATATATATATATATATATATATATATATACTCGTCCTTTTTTGTTCTTTTCCTCTACATGTTAATTGTGCCACCACCAGTACTTAATTTCTGTGACCCTCTGGCAGTTTTTTCACCATGAATGAATTTATAACTGGGTGCAGGCAGGCCCCTACATCCACAAAACGGTGGCCGTTAACTTGGTGCACCTCCCCTTGGATTTGATACTTTTCAAGTGGGACTCATCATGAGTTATGGTGCGTCCCCTGTTGCTCGCAGAAATTTAGTGCATGTAATGTTTCTGACCTGTAACGGGCATACATACAGAGACACACACATCATCTGGGTTGAACAGGGGCGGTTGTGGGGAACATCTAAAACACACACACACACACACACACACACACACACACACACACGCACACACACGCACACACACGCACACACACGCACACACGCACACAAAAGGTTGGTGTGAGTAAAGTTGACCACTTTCCTCTCTCAGGGGTATCGCTAACTCTGGGCGATGTGGTGAGTCCTTATCCATCAGTCAAATACATCCAGAGCAGACTGTCTGTCCAGGCTTAACCTCCTGACGAGTCAGTGAAAGTCCGACGGAACAGTCTGGCACAGTCATGCTTTTTTTGAGTGTATAGGGAATATGACAACACACGCACACAATCATTCTTATATACGTATGTATGCTTTCCTCTTTCTTGATTTTTTCCATGTATTTCGAGTGTGTCTGCATGAGCACCCTCAAGAAGTGCTAAATGGTCGATGGTTGGCAGTTTGGAGTGCCTGCAGAACTCTTACGGGGGGCGCTCCGTCTGTGATGTCTGTGATGAGTATGGTCTGTGATGAGTATGGTCTGTGAGTGGATGACAGACATCCGTCGGAGTACCTCCCTGGTTCAACGGGTGGTGGGAACAACAGTCTGCGGGGTTCAATTGTGATGTGAGCAGGTGATGTGCCACTTTGCTTCGTGTTGGATGTGTGGACTGCCCCGTTTGCGCTCCACTGCTGCCTTGCCGACCGTCCCACTTGCTTCGCATGCGGTTCTTTGCAAGCTGCTGTGTTCTCTGCGTGGTGTGGTTGCGGTGTTGGTGTTGCCTTGCGCCTCGCTGCACTGCTGTCCTGGCGCCCATCCGCGTGCCGTTCCTTCCGCTCCCTTTGCTCGTGTGACGTGTAGTTGCTGCCTTGTTGGTGTTGCCTTGTGCTTCACTGCACGGTTGCCGTGCTGCTCGTCCGCTTGCCCTGTCGTTCCTTGCAGTTGTTTTTGGCGTTGTGCAGTTGTGTTGCCTCGGCAGCATTGCCTGGTGCTTCATTTGCTGCCCGCTGCTATGTTCCGCTTGGGGACAGTCTGCCTCAACAAGGCTCAAAGGGTTCATGACCCAAACCATCAATACGGAGATTCCGCAGATTGTCGGGGGTTCAGCCTCGTGACGAGTCGTTGCAACTCCGACGACACAATCTATCGTCAGTTTTATCTTTTTCACTCCTTAAATTTATTCAGGACTTGTGTGTTTTTTCTTAGCTTGTCTGGTTGGTGTGCTTCTGCATCTTCTATTCGGTTTGCTTGGTGTTCTCGTGTTTTGTTAGCTTGGCATGCTTGTGAGTCATCTGCTTGGTCTGTTTGCTGTGCTTGTGTCGTTTTTTTTTTTGGGTGTGCGTGTTGCGTTTTCTCGGCATACTTGTGTGTCGACTGCTTGGTATACTTGTGTGTTGTTTCTCTGCCCACCCGCCTCCCCTATGCCCTCCATCCTTTGTCCTTTGCTTCTGCTTGTCATCATATGTCTTTCCCTTAGTACCTTGTGAGCCATGAATGGACCTATATCATCTTATGAGAACTCAAAAAGGCTCATGGCACCGGCCCCATGATTAGTGAAATGATGTAAGACCAGATGCAGGTAATGATCCTGGACTAGGACAGGAGTACCGCGGGAAACCATGGAGTTACTTAGAGCGGACGCACTATGCAATATTACCACACCCACCCACCCACCCACCCACCCACACACACATCTCCACACGCATGTGCATGCACACAAGTACACACACACAAAAAGAGAAAAGAAAAGAAGGAATGTCTGCAGAATCAGCACGATGGAGAACCTGATGGTAGCAGACTAGCAGTCCGAATATTGGTCACGTACCCATCATACCAACTGCAGTGTGAACTGAGTTAAAGACGAGACGAAGAAAGAGGGGAAGGGGAACACGGAAAAGTTGGGAAAACACAATTGGAAACCAATGAGCCTTAGCTGAGTTGGTATACCATGAATTGTGTTAAACCACAGACCCGAGTTCGAAGCTTGATGGACCTAGATGAATGGAGTGGATTTTTCTGACTTACCAAGGGCCGGTCACTTGGATGATGATATCTGAAGGCCACCGCCCTTTATAAGAGAAAGAAAGAGAGCAAAAAAAAGAGCAAAAAGAAAGAGAGCAAAAAAAAAGAGAGCAAAGAAGGAGGGGGGGGGGGGGCAATGATTAAAMAAACTGGGGAGAAAAAAACACACTTCACACCTCTTCTCCAACTTCCTTGTTCAGCAACCTGTTCAGCTTTGCTTCGAAAATTTGAAAAGAAACTTGGCGTACTAGGGGTAGGTTCTGAATCATACTTCAAAGTTCAATGTTCGAACAAACATCAAATGTAAAATTGTCTATCAGATTCTCAATTTATTAATTTTAATAATTTAATGATTTGTCGTACCACAAACATCGAATCTTCTACTCTCGTCTCTCAAATCCTTCAATTCATTGAATTGTGAAAATGTCATCCCGAAAAGTTGAATCCCCGACACCTCCACAACCCTTTTAAAGAAAAAAAAGAAAATGTCATCATGTAGTGGCAGGTACGCCACACTCCAGACGAACAAAAAGGACAAGCAAGAAAAACCAAAACTTGTCCGAGTTATGACTTCGACTTCTAAAAAAAGAAAAAAGAAAAGAAAAGGAAAAAAAAGTTTGACATTTGTTGCCAGCCGAGAGAAAATCCGCCCGCTGAGGTTCCCATCTCTTTCAAGTTTCAAGCTGTCCATTCCGACGCTATTAAACCACCAGTACTTCCTAGAGTCGTGCCCGTTAACGCGCCACGATTTTAGGAAACGTATTGGCCACTACAGGAGCGCCCAAATTCATCCGACTAGAAATGTTTCTACTCTATTTTTTTCCGCGGCTGATATAGACGGGCCAAGTACTGGTGGTTTAACTTCACAACGCCCTCTCCCGAACGGAGACTCAAAGATAAGAGTCCCAGAGACCCTATCTCCTTTTTTTAACCTTTCTGAAGAAAAGAAAAGAGAAACAGCAACCGTGTCTGCTTTACCAAAAAAAAAAAAAAAAAACTAGAAAGGAGCATTTCAACTCTCGAACTGTGTGCCAAATTGCTAGTCCTCAGTAGATATCTACAATATAAAGCATTACACAAAACTTGACAAAAGATAGCCAGGAATTCTCAGAACGCTGAAAACAGGAGGATGCTCCCGTCGGGTTCTGACCCTTCCTGTTTGCGTGCAAAGTTCCAAGTGGAAAAAAAAATCTCATATGCTTCGTAGCCTCAGTGGTGCTTGGCACTGCTTGCATGATGCTTCGTAGCTTCGTAGCCCTGGCAAAGATTGAGTCCTGTTGCTGCCACGAGCTCAAATTCAACAAAACAAAATCTGAAAAAGACTGCAGCTGGACTTTTGTAACATGAGTTCACTACAGCCTGAGGAGTCTGATCTAAGCAGCAGGAGAACGAAAAGGAACCTGGACAAACAAGTTGTCCGCATGCGTAAGGACCGCAGAAAGGCACAAGAAGGCGTCCCCCGTACGTTCGTTACTTGTACAGCTGCACCTCGCTAAAATCTAGTCTTCGGCTCCACATCATCATCAGAAAGTTTGCCCAGAAACTGCACGGCCCTCCCCCGCCCCCCATCCCCACCCCGTCCACACACACACACACACCAAAAAAAAAAAAAAAAAAAAAAAAAAAAAAAAACCCCCCCACACACACACACAAAAAAAAAAAAAAAAAAAAAAAAAAAAAAAAAAACCCTGCTCATGGTGCATGTCGTAGCAATCGAGAGACGAGATCAGTCAGCACCTGCCAAATAATTCTGTGACGGAGAATTCAACACCGCCAACGAAGGTACAACCAGGAGGGCAAAGCTGTAATTATTCAGAACAAGGTCTGAATCATAGCAGAGGAGGTATGGTAATGGGACACTGGACCCGTTTTCTCAGCACAGGAATCACTGCAGCTATCTCACAACTCATCTCCTTTTTACGACAATGTAAGGGACGCTGGACCCGGTTTCCAGCAGGTGCTGCTCCCCACCAATAGATGGAGCCGTCCTGGGGGTGCTAGCGGTGTCTGCTCATACCAGCACCTCTAGCACCGCCCGGGTTTAAAAAAAAAAAAAAAAAAAAAAAAAAAAAAAAAAAAGGTCTGAATCATAGCAGCAGATGGCAGTAAGGGGACGGACGAGGCGAAAATGAGATTAAAAAATGAGATGAAATGGCCTAAACACCGGCCTTTTATGCGACAGTAGCATAATGAACAGGCGTTGACGGCACGACAAGCAAGCTCGCAGGGAAAGACGTGTGTGCTTTGACACTCCACCTTGGCATCCACCGGTGTGTCTGTGTGCCTGTCTGCCTTCGTCTCACTTGCCGTTTGTTTAACGGTAAGGCAACTTGGAGGAGAAGTTGTATGCTATGGCACACCATCATCTCTGCGCTTCTGTGTCTGTTTGTCAGTCCTCTTCTCACATGCCATAGAGTATGAAAAAGTGATCAAAGAGGGCCGCGACATCTGGATCGAGCTGCTTGTTAGTCGAAAACAAACAGCGAAAACTCCTCCCAGGTTCTGATTTACAACGACGAACAACATGTTACCTTAACGAACAGAAAGTTACGTCAACAAAACAGCTCGTACTCCTGAGGGAGTGCACTGCTCTTTCTGGTGAAGGTGGCATTTATCAGCCGCAACACACCTTCGAGTGCCTATCTGCCGCGAGCAACTTCGTCAACTCTTCTGCTCAACTCCCCCGTCTAACCACAATCAACCAGCAGTCCTTGTTAGCAGGTGCGTTCCCTCGACAACTTGAAACGATAGACCATAACCGTAACCCTGAAGACGAGTCTCGAGTACGTTGTCGGGCTACTACACTTGGTGCAAAACTGGGGCTGCAGAACATGCCCAGGGCAACCAAAAAGTAGGAGAAAGAAAACATCGCTTGCTTCGAGCGACGACGTCCCGTGCAAAGCAACAGGGAAAGGATCGATGGCTGGAGCAACTAGCATCGTTGCTTCGAGCAACGACATCCTGTGCGAAGCAGTGGAAGGAAGAAGAAGCGAACATCCGTGTTTGTTGGGATTGACAGCCTCAGAGATCCCGTTACTCTGCCATTTAAAAAGACACCATTCACATGAATTTTGCGGCAATTGCTTAGCACAATGCACTCGGGCACGCGACATGTAACCTCGTGCTGAGGGGAACTTACTTCCTCTCTCCTAAGGCTGGCTTTCTAGGATACCTTGAAGCCCACTGCTCTCTGGATCTCATAAAAGGGTGTTGATATATGCCAGCAAGTCACCACATTCTCTCTGTGAGTGATCGATCCTTTCGAGAAGCTTCTGGAATATCCGGCACGGGCATCTGCAAGCCAAGTCCTATTTCCATCGAAGAGCCATCTCCTTGTAAGCACCAAAAGTACAGAAAAAAAAGCCAAACTACCACTCATTGTACAGTACAGAAAAAATAGCCGAGAGCCGAGGCAACAGCGATCGTGTTCTGCATGCTAAAAATAGAAACCCCCCCATCGTAGTGTCTACTGTCTCTTCTCCTATACCCTCATGGCTTCTACTTTCCCTGTCCTTCTTTACAACAGCACTCTAGCTTCCCCTTCATCAAAGCCCAGCTGTGAGAGGGAGCAGCACAACACTTGGCAGCAACCCCCCCCCTCCTGGCCAACGAAATGTACCCTTGTCCATTTCGCATCCGAATACTACAAGCAGCAGGAGACGAGAAAGGAAAAAGCTTCTCCCGAAATCACTCACTTTGCGGCGAAAGAGGAGGAACGACGAAGGCTCTTCCCAAGTTCGTCCACTTTGGCGCGGTCGACAACAAAGAAAGAAGCTTGTCCCAAGTTAAGTTCACCCGCTTTGCAGCAGAAGGCGAGAAAGGAAGAAGCGGGAGACGAGAAAGGAAGAAGCTTCTCCCGAAATTACTCACTTTGCAGCGAAAGATGAGGAACGACGAAGGCTCTCCCCAAGTTCGTCCACTTTGACGCGGACGACAACAAAGAAAGAAGCTTGTCCCAAGTTAAGTTCAGTGCACACGCACTTTGCAGCAGAAGGCGAGAAACGATGAAGGCAGGCTCTAAGCTCACAGATCGAGCTTCAGCTGACCAAGTAGACCCACATGGATTGGCTTAGTGATCAGATACTTGTCTGTGTGGAAAAAGAACGCAGCGGCAACGATGCTGTAGCAGAGGATGAGGACAAGACCTTTCAGCCAATTGGACTTGCCGTCACTGAGCATAATCGCACACACGAGTATGACCGCAAATAAGATTGTAGACTCAAAGTTGTGGAAGTTAAGATCCATCGGCTTACCGCAGATCCAACCCGCCACAACACACAATGGCATCAAGAACATCCAGATCTGAATCGATGAGCCAACCGCAATTCCAAGCGCCAAGTCAAGCTTGTTCTTCACCCCAAACAGTACAGCAGACCCATGCTCTGCCACATTATTGAAGATTGGCAAGAGAATTACGCACAAGTATGCGGCGGGAACTCCCCACGACTTCGCCGCAGCCGCCATTGTGTCAACCAGGAGGTCGGACAGGACAGATATGCATCCTGTGATCAGCGCCAGCCAGGGAAGAGAGCCCCACAGACCAATGGTCGCTTCCTCCCCGTCCTCTTCATCGTTATAGAGGTCGACATGGGTGATGAGCTGAAAGGTGATGTAGCTGAGGTACCCAATAAGCATGACCACCGCACATACTCGAGACAGCTGAAGTTCCGAGACGTCCATCTCCGCTTCCGTGTGCGTTGCGTGCAACACATGGGGAAACAATGTGCTCAAGGCACCTAGCATCAACAACCCTGTGACAGTCACAGAAGCAAGCAGCAGAAAGTGATGGGTAACCGCAACCACAACTCAGCACCGACTCTCAGTGAGAGGCCTTTTGTTTCCTTCCTCAGAGCTGTAGGTAGATGGCGCACACGGTATGTAGGTCGATAGCATGAGTTTTTTTTTTTTTATTACTATTATTATTAATTTATTATTATTATTATTATTATTATTATTATTATTATATATTATTATTATTATCGTCTAGGCTACCAGAGTGGCCCGGGATCATCCCTTCCCACGATCTTGAATACTTGAGCTCTAGCTCCAAGTTTGAATTTTGCTGCGTTTGCCCAGCCGGGCCAAAAAGATAAATAAATAAATATATATATATATATAATATTATTTTAAATTTGGTGAAGAATCTCGATGTGACCCTGGGGCAACAGTTGTTCAGTTTATTTTTCTGCATTACATTATCTTTTTTTCAGATTTTTTGGAGGTTCTTTTTTTTTTTTTTTTTTTTTGACCACCTTTGGTCCTCGCACGGCCGGGCTGCCCGGGCAAACAAGGTGACCCAGGCCACCCGGCTGGTAGCCTAGATTATTCTTATTCTTATTATTATTATTATTATTATTATTATTATTATTATTTATTATTATTATTATTATTTATTATTATTATTACTATTATTTTGAAGTTTTTACCATTTCTCAATTTATGTGTGTCATCCTTGCGCAGGGGCCATGCTAATCTTCTCTGTATCGTTCCAATTTCAACGGATGTCCCGAGGGACATGTGAGGTAAGAAATTGAAAAAAGAATATAGCTTTGTTTCGTAAAAAAGGAAAAAAAGAGCTCAGCGCAGTCAGCACCGACGATACAACACTAAGAAACCAGGAACGAACTGCGGAGAGACTTGAAGCATACCAACAAAAAGATAAGAGCCAAAACTACTCAGTGCATTTCATCTGGCAGTGCATTTCATCCGGCATCGGCGTCTGGATAATCCGGAATGCGGCGTGGCATGCCAGCAAGACCTAAGCAACGCATAGCAACTGGAAAAACAAAAAAAAAACAAAAAATTAAAAAAGAACTTTCTCGGCCTTTTGGCTAAGATCAAGTGTAGTATCTGTTCTGATAGTTTAATATATGATCCGTGGTCCATCGGACCACAAAAAAAAAAAAAGGAAAAAAAAAGGAGCTAAGTTGGTTTGTGGCACAACCGAGTTTGAAAAGGGCAACAAAATCACACGTGGGCAACAAACTCGCACGCCGAGTTCAAAAGATAGAGAAACAAAAGCATTTTTACCTGGGCGCTGAGTTTGAAAAGGGCAACAAAATCACAAGCGGGCCACAGCCATTTTTACTTACCGATATGGCACTTTTCAAACTCCGCACCTGCACCCAATTTTGTTGTCCGCACCAAAAAAAAAAAAAAAAAAAAAAAAAAAAAAGATAAGAGCAACAAAAACATTTTTACCGGCGCACTGAGTTTGAAAAGTCAGAAAACGGCAACAAAATCCCAAGCGGGCCACAACCACGACCTTGACCTCTCAGGACTGTAGCAGCTACGGACTCGACCCTTTTAGAAGAGCTACAGCTACGACTTCTAGAACTCACTAAGACCTCTATCCTACAGGTCTACAGATCCAACGCCTACAACGTACGGACCTACGACAGCCTACCAACTGTTCTGAATACACAGGTCACGGGTTCAACTCTCGCGGTCGACACAGATACTGTACACAAGTAAGGTACGAACTAGGGATCGAGCCCTGGGATCTGCATTCGCTACTGCTAACAGGTGAATACCGGGCCAGAGCCATTTTTACTTACGGATATGGCACTTTTCGAACTCCACACCTGCACCCGATTTTGTTGTCCACATGTTTTTTTCAACATTTTTGCCTTTTGGAAACTGAAAGTGTGACACTGCCGGAGTTTTTTACTTACCGATATCATAATGGCACTTTTACAAGCTCCGCACCTGCACCTGATTTTGTTGTCCGCACATGTTTTTTCACTCTTTCCAAACTGAAGGTGTGACACCCACTTCCGGACTCGTTTCAAGAAAGACAAAGCAATTAACTATGAAAACCAAGACAAAGCAATTAACTAGGAAAACCAGACAGACGGCAGAGATCAATCAAGACACCACATGGTTGAACCCCAACTATGAGACGAAACGACCATTTCGTCAAAATGGACATTTTTTATTTTTTGAATGAAATTGAAACCGAGTTTTTTGGCCGAAAACTCGTCAAAATTTGTTGTTCCCGAGGGTCCTGGACCCCCTGGCTGTACATGGACCTAGCTTGAGACCAGATACCTCCAGGCAGGACTGCCTGGAGGTATCTGGTCTCAAGCTAGGTCCATGTACAGCCAGGGGGTCCAGCGTTTTACAAACGCCGGACCCAGGAACAACAAGTTTTGACGAGTTTTGGGCCAAAAAACTCGGTTTCAATTTTGTTCACTAAATAAAAGATGTCCATTTTGACGAAATGGCAGTTACGAGGAACAAACTGCAGATAGACTCGAACTAATACCAGCACAACGAACTAGGAAAACCGGAAGTAGATGGACCTCGCTCCACTACTCACCACATACAAAAGACAAAAAAATATGGTGGGGGCGTTTATCTTCCCAGGTTCTAGCGGCAGATGCATTCTCATTTTGCACATTTGGTAAGTAGTGGAGCAACGCACGATGGCTGCAGGGATCAATACCATCCATAGATTCCATGCAACTTACGATGGAACAGCAGAGATAGGAGCAAAAAGGGATATCAACACATGCCACTTGTCTGTTCACAAACAGCATCATTATAGTCATCCTTTGCACAAATTATTGAAATTAAATATTATCAATGAAAACAGACCTTCGTCTGCTCATGCACAGGACTCCTAGATAATTTAATATATAGATGCACGAGAGGCATCGACAGATTCGTAGTTAATTGGATCTATAGCATGTAATTCAAAGAGCAAGGTATATATGTATGATGATGGGTCAGCTCCTCGGCCTATGAAAACTAGTAGTGAGATAAAGGAATACAGTTGGACTTTCAGTGGAAACTTACCACCAAAAAAAAAAAAAAAGAGGGGGGGGGGAGGAAACTGAGAGTAGTCCCAACCTGGTTTTTTTTTTTTGGGCCCATGTGCCACCCCTCTATCCCTGTGCTGGTAAGAGAACCACGAGGATTGAGAGGTTGGCTGTCGGGCGTCCCAGCCTGGTTTTAAACTCTCAAAAAGAAGAAGAAGAAGAAGAAGAAGAAGAAGAAGAAGAAGAAGAAGATTATCCTAAGCACCTGACAGGCTGAAGAGGCGGGGTGCCTTTGACTGCGCAAAGGATTCTGAATATGCAGAACAAGTGTAAAGTAGTGGGGGAAATGCCAGCACTAGTAGAATAGAAAAGGGATAACTGGGTATGTTTAAGGGATGGTGGACCCACTTTCCAGGAGGGGTTGCAGAGATTGGTATGTCTATGGGACGCTGGACCTGGTTTCCAGCAGGTCCTGCTCCCCAACAATCGACTGGAGCCGGCAGCGGGACTACTGTCCAGGGGTGCTCTTATCAACCTCAACAGTAGACTATGCACTGCCAGCCTGTTTAAACCACCACTACCTTTCACGCTGTTGGGAAAAGTGGGAATATACCCTCTACGATATCCTCCGGTGCCTGGGCCCAACGACGGACACCGTTGCTAAATTTCATCAGCGGCCTATGTTGTGTTCCGTCCTTCCAAACTCTTGGGGCCTTGCCCACGGCCCATGTATGGCAAAGGTAATGGTGGTTAAAAAACGGAAAAAAAAAAGAAAAAAGACGCAGAATATGCTCTCTCTCTCTCTCTCTCTCTCTCTCTCTCTCTCTCTCTCTCTCTCT